GTAGTGTCAGTATTCTGCTTTGCCTTCTAAAGTCTAGTTTTAATAATAATAATAATAATAATAATCATAGCGATACTACTACTAATAATACTATTACTAATACTATAACTACTACTACTACTAATGATAATAATGATAATAAGATTATGATGAAGAAGAATACTGATACTACTACTACTACTAATAATACTAATACTACGATGAAGAAGAATACTGACACTACTACTACTACTACTACTACTACTACTAATAATAATAATAATAATATGATGAAGAAGAATACTGATACTACCACTACTACTACTAATAATAATAATAATATGATTAAGAATAATACTGACACTACTACTACTACTACTACTACTACTAATAATAATAATAGTAATATGATGAAGAAGAATACTGCTACTACTACTATTACTACTACTACTACTACTACTACTACTACTACTACTACTACTACTACTAATAAGAATAATAAGAATAATAAGAATAATATGAAGAAGAATACTGACACTACTATATATATAATTTATGGAGAGCACTAGGCTTAAATTGCATGCACACAATTACAATTTACGTACCTTTTGTTGTTGTTTTTTTTTTTTTACTTTCTTGTATTTCATCTATAACAGTCGTTTTCTTTGTTTGTTTGGTTTTTTTTGCTGTATGAAATGTGCACTCAGTTGATGACAGCGCCTTGGTTAGCTGTCACGTCCAGCTATTGGGGAACTAAATATCCCAGCGTGCACGGACTTGTAGTTCTCCAGCAGTTGCAGGGCACAGGTTGGAGTCACATCTGTTGGTGATTTGTACAGCTCTGTACATAGACATTGAGAGAAGCCATAGACATTACATGACACATTAGATTTACTAGTTCACATCTGTAACTGATCCACCCCTCTGTACTGCACTTTGAAATATTAGTTTGATGCGAACGGGATATAATGAGGGACGAAATGTTTGTAATGATCTGCAGTCCCCACAGAGCTCTGGGATGGTCCCAAGCCACTAAGTCCACTTGAAGCAATTTGATTTCCCTCTTATTGAAGAAACCTGATCCGCAACTGTATCCTCCTGCCTGGTCCTCGGCTGTGAGCAGAAAACTTTTGTGTAATATCATTCTTAGTAGAATAGAACAGCTCCGAGGTGTCCTGTGTGGGAGAGCCTGGTGAATGAGCTGAGTTCACCTCTCCTCCTGGGTCACCCAGAGATCATCCAGGCAGAGTCCTACTCACCCTGCACCTGTGATACTCATCACTGAGCCAAGTTCACTGCTGAATCTATGTAACTAACAGATCATGTAGACTGAGCCTTGTTCACCTCTGCACCTAGGTCACCCAGAGATCATATAGACAGAGCCCCATTCACCCTGAACCTGTGATACTCATCACTGAGCCAAGTTCACTGCTGGATCTATGTAACTCACAGATCAAGTAGTAGACTAACCCATGATCAACTCTGCACCTAGGTCACCTATAGATCATATAGACAGAGCCCCATTCACCCTGCACCTGTGAAACCCATCACTGAGCCAAGTTCACTGCGACATCTATGTAACTAACAGATCATGTGAGCCATGTGCACCTAGTAAACCCAAAGATCATACAGGCTGAGTCCTATACACCCACTCATCACTGAGCCAAGTTCACTGCTGGATCTATATGCAGCTCAGAGATCAAGTAGACTGAGCCATGTTCACCTCTGCTCCTAGGTCACCCTGGGGCCAGAGATCATATAGACAGAGCCCCATTCACCCTGCACATGTGATACCCATCACCGAGCCAATTTCAGTGCTGGATCCATGTAACTAACAGATCATGTAGACTGAGCCATGTGCACCTAGGTCACCCAAGGATCAGGCAGAGTCCTATTCACCCTGCACCCGTGTGTAAGTCATCAATGACTGCTGGATCTATGTAGGCATCGCATAGACTAAGCCATGTGCACTACTGCTTCTGGGTCACCCTGAGATCATGCAGGCAGACTCTGGCAAAGTTCTATTTACCTTGCACCTATGTCACTCATCACAGTGACTGAGGTATGTTCACAACTGGACCTATGTGTATCAGAGATGACAGTGTCAAGGCCAAGTTCAATGCTGCTACTGGGTCACACAGAGATCACACAGGCAGGGCCCCATTCACCCTGCACCTAGGTCACTCATCACACCAACTGAACTACATTCACTGTCGGGTCTAAATAACTTAGGAATCGCACAGAGTAAGACATTTCACTGTTGCTAGTAGATGATCTAATGAGCACACCGACAGACCCCTATTCACCCTGCTCTTATGTTACCGATCATAGTGACTGAGCCATTTTCACCTATGCTTCTGGGTCACACAGAGATCGCACAGGTAGAGATCCCAGGGGCTGAGCCAAGTTCACCTATATGCTTCTGGGTCACACAGAGATCACACAGGTAGAGATCCCAGGGGCTGAGCCAAGTTCACCTATATGCTTCTGGGTCACACAGAGATCGCACAGGTAGAGATCCCAGGGGCTGAGCCAAGTTCACCTATATGCTTCTGGGTCACACACAGGTAGAAATCACAGGAGCTGAGCCAAGTTCACCTCTGTCACTGCAGAGCCTGGTATATCAATGTACCAATACTAAGCCCAGCTTCTGGAGAAAAACTTCACTTCTTACTACTGACCCTTTGATACATCAGTCCCCTTAAGCAGTCATGATGACTACTAAGGTGAGCACAGTTACTGAGCCACACTCACCATCTGTGGCCCTCAGAAATTGCTGAATATTGGTCACAAGGATAGAACCTTTCAGGAGCAATGTGAAATTGCCCATCTACTACATAAGGTACAACAATACACAGTCCTATATAATGAGCGAT